GACAGTAAATAGTCGTTTATACCATCGCATATCAGGGACTCCACGATTTTTGAGGATATGGAGAGAAGAGCCACCGGTCGGTAGCTTGAAGGTTCATTGTGTCGACCTCCTTTGAAAATTGGTGTGATGTGAGCAGCCTCCAAATTTCCGGTAGTTTTCCTTGGCTTAGCGAGTGTGAGAACATCACGCTAAGCGGTGATGCCAGGATTGAAGCTGCTTCGCTCAGTATGGCAGAATGGACCATATCCGAGCCAGGAGAAGTATCTAGTCTTAAGTGCCGCAGTTTCTGGAACACCAAGTCAACGCTTAGGTTCACTTCGGAAAGTCCTGTGGAATTGTAGATGAAACTGTCATCAGTAAAGTTGATGTCGGTCGGTTGAAATGTCTGAGAGTAATGTTCAGCCAGAAGGTTGGCGGCGTCGCCATCGTTGTTGGTCGGGCCGTTAAGACCTACCAGTTGGGAAACTCCAGTTTTGGCTTGACGAAGAGAGGCTGCATAACGGAATAAGCTTTTAGGATTAGAGGCAAATTTGTCCATAAGCTTTGTCTGGTACTGAAGCCTATCTTCTCTTATAGCCTTCGTGCATATGTTCCTGATATAATTATATTGCCTATACGCTCCATCATTATTAGTTCGTTTGTATTCCGCCCAACAGTGCCTTTTGCGGCTTAGCAGGCGAAGGGTACGGTTCTTGATTATTGTAGGTGGCTTGCAGCTTTTGGGAACCGTTCGAGTAACTGAATGGTTTGTAGCACATAAGAGCGTGTGCAGTAAGAAGTCCCAATGACCGTACACATCGAGTTGAGGGTGAACATCCCAATCCACCTGTTGTAGATAGTCGTGTAGAGCTGGCACTTTCAACCGTTTAAAGTTCCAACGCAAATTATTGGTGGGACACCTTAGCTTAGTTTTGCTGACAAAACTGAAGGCTATGACGACATGAAACCTTTTTCCCAGAGGAGCCAGGACTGAGAGGTTTTCAACTAGGAATTCTTCGTTTGTGAATACACAGTCTAAGCGCGATGGTGTCTGACTGTTTCTCCAACGAGTTGCCGACCTCACACTTTCGTACAATTCCAAGTCACCGATGATGTCGAAGAACCGAGCTTCAATTGAGTTATCGCCTCCCGTATACGTGGGATCCGCGAAGTTGACTCTATAGAGATTAAAGTCCCTTAGAATCAGGATGTGTGTGAAACCGAGACGAGTAGAGCGGGATAGTCCTTCCAGCATATGACTATCATACTCGATGTCGGCAGTTGGCTTCCTATAAATGACTCCGACTAGACACCTCGAAGTACTAGACAATCTTACAGAGCACCATATGGATTCCTCAAGATTGTTCAACTCGAGGTTGTGAACTTGGTGCACCTCCAAGCAAGAATTTATGTATGTGGCTACTCCGCCCCCAATTCCTGTTTTTCTGTCGTTGCGGAACGAAGTCACCCCAGGTAATGCTAACTCTTGCTCCGAGAACTGAGAAGTTATCCAGGTTTCAGATATTCCTATCAGATGGGCCTTATTAGCGTTGCTAAGTTCACGTAATTCATCCAGTTTGTTTGGTAGACTCGCGGCGTTCATATATAAGCAGTTTATGCTTTCAATTTGGAACGCGTGAGCTTCGTCCTGTTTTTCTGTATGAACCTTATGTGAATGGACAGGTAGCCCACCTATATGAGGTTTGCCGAGGTGGTAGGCCCTGTCCTTTTCACGTTTTTTTTATCATTTAGACAGTCCACAAGTGGAATGGTCAGCTCCAACTTGCCTTTGTTCTTGGTCCTAGCTTCGTTTGGCCTATCCGGGTGCATGTGGATCCCAGGTGGCAATCGACGTCTGTTGGCACGAAATGCTTCCAGAACTGCAGCCGCCATGTGGGAAGATGGGAAGGTTATCTTCATTAGACGGGGTTTAGGATCACAGCCCTTCTTGGCTAGTCTCTTCACATGCTGAGTCAGTATGTGTTTGAGCCTCAAGGACTGTTTGATGAATTTCCATTCCCCGATGTCAGAGTTTGCTTGAGTAGGGTCCGCATTTTCCGGTATACCTTGCAAAATTATGTTTCTTACGCGGAAAAACTTCTCACGAGATTCTTTAGAGGTGTTTCGTATGATATTGCGCCCGGAGTACGGTATGTCGGGCAAGTGACTGGCCAGCAAGATGTCCTCTACGTCGGTAGCATTCTTAAGTGTTACTCGAAGAAGCCTCGGGTGATTTAGATGCTTAGAATCCTTTCCTCGAGTGAGCCGGGTGACCGTCAAAGGCTCTATTCTGAGAAGTTCGAGCTTCTTGTCCAATTCACCCCAGAGCATCCTATCATTTTTATCCTGCAGACTGAGATGAAGGTCAGGATTGTCAATGAAGTTCATGATTATGAGAGAATCGTTACGAACTGTTGATTTACCAGGTTTTCCAATGGGTTCAGGTTTAATACCTAGTTGTTTGGAGGTCAAAGCACGTTTTTGAATGTTGGGCTCTTTGATGACCAGACGAACATTCTTGGGGGTAGACTGTGCGACCAAAACACCAGTTTTTTTCCGTACAACAACACTTGGGATGCTCAGCTTAGGCGGTGACACCTGGTTCTTTTGGGCTCTGCTAACGTGGGTCGAATCACCAGCAGGGTTTTTGAAAACCACTGTTGTGTTCAGGGACCCTGATCTGGGAGACCCGAGTTTACTTAGGGAGTCTAATTCCGTCGACGTAATGATGGTGCTGAGCTTCAACACGTCATCATTAATGCTAATGGATGCTCCATCGATGGTATGCCTGTCGAAATCCCTAATCCTGGGTTCATTGCGCGCTCTTGCTTGCTTATCCGTTTTTTTACTGTCGTTATCCAAGTTTGCTGACAACTTGTTCCACAGGCCTGTCAGTAGGACGATGACGTTACTCAGCAAGACTACAGCGTCCGTGCTGCAGGTGACACATACCCGCTTTTGGTCCGACTTGCTTAGTCTATTGTAGGCAGTTGCCGTCAGATCTGTGCACGCTTCGTGGAACCAACCTTTGCAGCTATCGCACTGTATGCCAGTTGTAACAGCAAAAAAGCATCCCGGACGTTTGCATGAGTTTTTCATGACTATGTTGAAGCAAACTGTGATATAGATGCTTGCAAAAGCCCAAGACCGTAAAAATACACTAAAAAGCACACTGAAAACGGACAAAAGTGGATAAAAACGAGTGAGATAAACTGAATTAGTCTTTACGTGAAAAACAAAAAAAACCGAATAATAAGCTGAGGCAAAACCACTGTCAACTATTATATATGGTGAAGCTAAAAAAAAGTAATCTACCGAACGTATAGCTCAGGATAGATCCTATAGGACTGAAATGATACTTCTGTTGCGTAAGAACACAGCAAAAGTTTGATAAATGCAAATCACGTTAGGACTAAACCTCCTGTTCGAAAAGCGCGCGTCAAAGTTATTTCCAATAAAACTGATGAGGTCATCATCACTACCAAAGATTTACATAACCGTTTATTTTCAGGATTTACTTATCACTACAGTAATTTCAAAGAAAAAACTGTTATAGAATAAAAAGCAAGCCAAAATGAACACTTAAATGAAGAGGAAACTTCATGTAGGCCCTCTGTAACAAATTTGGTTTTGATGTTGAAACTGGTTACCTAAATATGGGAACGCCTGAAAATCATGATAGTTTGCGCTTATTCAACTAATACCGAGCAATTTTGACAATCTCCTCTGTAAAACAAGCCGTTCAAGGTCGTTGTGACGAAAAGGCGGGCGGGTGGCTCTGGAAGCACTTCTGTTATAGTAACGGTATTAACCTCCAGTTTCGAATATCAGGTTGTCTTAATACGGTCCCTGTGTTATTTCTCATTGTCGTTGGTTGTTTTATTAATAAATATGAATGCATTCCTTGTGCATACTGAGTTCTCGGCCCATCTTTTCTCTTGTTAATTTGGAAAAGAATATATATTCTTCTCTAGATTAACATACTGCTCTTCACACCACCCCAGCATACAAGGTACTTCTAGGTTGGATGCTAACCTAACCAATGTTAGACGTTATACCTTGCGTTCCCAGTCTCCTAAGTTTGGGGAATTTCGGGGAAACCTCCTAAGTCAAATGACCTTCACCAAAGTTTGGGGAAAACACCAAATTTAGGGGAATTTCCCCAGATCTGGAGAAGTTTTTGGTTCTTGGTGCCATTTCTTCGAAATTTCTTCAAAGTTTACTATAACAGCGTCCCCAAAACGGGCCGAATTTTCCCCGAAATTTGGAGATCGGGTTTGTACCGTTCCTTTCGGCAACACACCAGCTACATAATGGCATCGATCATTGTCATCTTGTCCGAACAGAGCTCTTGTTGTACACCAAAACATTCAGCTTTATGAAAGCATCGTGAATCAGTCAACAGACTTCCCACTCTCAAAAACGTATGCAGGTTTTATTTACTTCATATAAATAAAATATTAGACATCCGTTTACGAATCCTAAACCCTTTAATTCCAAGTGTACGTCGAAAATCCACTTGATTACCCCAATTTCTAAACAACTTACCAATACATCACTTGTAAATTAATATGGGTAAACTACTACGTGCAAATTCCCGTGGCACTCCATAAACTACAAATTGGGGTTGTCTGTATCTCAGGAGTATGAGGGTTATTCAGACTGAGAACTAGCTTGTGTCAAGTACTTGAGTTGTTAAACCATAGCATAATCAATAAAAGTGTTTATTTGGTGTAGTAACTATTCATCAGACGTTAGTCGAACAAACTTCCGTTCATGAATTGAAATCACCAACAATTAATACTTTACTCACTAAGTGCTTAGATTTAATCGTGTTGTTCTAATATTACTGCACTTCATCAATGGCTTTGCTTTTAAAATTTCATTTGTAATTGATATCTCTTGGTATTTTGGAGTATCATCGTTTTTCACTTCTAGTTATTAGAAACTAAATACGCCCACACACTCCGCTACATTTTTGGTCAGGCTTTATTCTCACGGGACTGAACTTAAAAATTGAAATGTATGCGTTATTAGGTCGATCACCTTCCCTTATTTCAAAAACCATCCGATTGAGTAGAATATTCAGCACAAGTTGTAAACTGACCTCCAGTAAGTCAATATCTTTTTGAATAAAACCAGATGTGTACTATACCAAAAAACACGAGTGGATCAAGGTCAGTGGTGATGTTGGGATTGTAGGAATTTCTAAATATGCTGAACAGAAACTGGGTGATATAGTGTACGTTGAGTTACCTACTATTGGAGACAAGATCAATGTTAATGGTATTTACTGGTATTATGATAACTAAAAGTAGACCAATGTGCCGTTGTCGAATCAGTCAAAGCTGTTAGCGAAGTATACTCTCCAGTGTCAGGTACCATAATTGAAGTCAATCCAGATGTTGAAAAAAATACAAAAATAATCAATCAGTCCCCTTTAGATGAAGGTACGTTATGCGTGTTTGAATCTTCTGGTTGCATACAAACCTTTTCCGTCGATATGAAGTCGTATTTCTCAAAAGGGTCGTCAGAAAATTCTGCAATGTAATTAGTTACTCAAAATGAGCACCATAAGCATGATCCCAAAAAATCAAATAAATAACGAGAAATGAAATTTTTTAAGTAAGATTTAAGTCCATCCATCCCACTATCATCAGTTGTGAACCACGTCACCGAGCTTTCAGTTACAGTTTTCCAAGTACTGAGCATCCCAGTCAGGTCGCCTGTATCCCTCCGACGAAAAATCTGTTGAGTTGTAGATTGATAATTGCTATCTTCATCTGTATACCCACCTTAATACTGTTTCATCTTGCATGAAATATGAGTACTGGTTTGGAGTAGATAACATATCTAGTCAACGTCGTCTAGCCTGCTGTGATTACCCAGAACTATGCATCTGAGCCCAGGATTATCGACTTATTACCCCCTCCCTATTTTAGCAACACTTCGATTTTGCATTTCCGACTACAAACTCCAGATTTCGATTATGGCGTTTGCCTCTCCCTTACTAAATATGAAAATGCTGCGACAGGAAATTATTATAAAGCTTACTTTGACGACAAAAATGTGAAAATTATATTTCAACAGAAACCATTCTGAGGCTTAGTGGACCTTAAAGAAGATATGGTTTGCTACAAAAAAACACCAGTAACAACTATGCACAACGTTCTATTTTAGGAAATAGATTTTTAATAAAACATCTCAACTAGATCCAAACACGATAATAGGCTGAAATGTCTTCGTAATGGCTACGAAAAGTGCTAGACAACATGATCCAAAGGAAGGCACAAGAACGCAGTAGTAGTTGGCACCTAATTTCGGCTCATCAAGTAGACAAGTTCAAAGGTCGACCGTCAATGAAATTGCCACCAAATAGGCAGGCTAGTGATTTATTTTTAGACCGTTCTACCGAAATAATAGATAAAATGTTCCAAGTAATAATCCAACTTTCCTCCGATTCCCCACGCATACAGGATTCCAGTGTGGTCATTCATTTGACCTCACCTCGGCAAAACGGAGAGCCAACGAGATACACCCTCCGTGTATCTGGTGACCCGATGGCCAGTTCTCGTGGACTGGCAGGTGTAGGCATAGCACTAAGCATGAGAGTGGAACAAGCACTGCTAGAGTGGATCCCCGTCAACAGTCGTCTATGTGCTGTTCGGCTAAACGGCTCCGTAAGAACTCGGAAGGATAGGGACACACGTCGTTGCCTTTTCGTCGTTTCTGCCTACGCTCCCACTGACTGCAGCTCAGATAATGTGAAAGATGAATTTTACAGAAAGCTGTCCGAACTTCTTCAGAAAGCTAAACGCTCAGACATAGTACTCGTAGGGGGTGACTTTAATGCTCAGATAGGTAGCTTAAACCAAACAGAAAGGCATTTAGGTGGATATTTTAGCATTCCGGCACAGCGAACAGATAATGGTGACCGTCTGCTGCAACTGTGCTCAGACAATCGCTTATTTTTTAGCAAACAAATTTTAAGCATAAGGAGAGACATCGTCTAACATGGCGACCGCCTGCCCAAGCCAACGATGGACTCAAATAGACCATATTGCCATCAGTCATCGTTGGAGAGGGTCGGTACAAGATTGTCGCTCATTCTGGAGTACCTGCTTGGACTCTGACCACGCCCTAATACGGGCACGCATCTGCTTGCGCCTCACTGGACGCAAAAAAGCCACATTAGAACTGATTTGAGTAACGAGAAAACCAAAAGTAGGTTCCAGGAACAACTGAGGTCACACTTAGGTAGTTCTGAAAACGAGGCTGACCCAGATGTTGCTTGGAAAGATATACAAGCAGCTGTGGAAGCAGCAGTGACATCTATTAGCGACTTAAACCACAGAGTTTCAAAGAACCAGTGGATTTCTTCAAAGTCTATCACACTGATGAATTCTCGCAAACTCGTCCCATCAGGTTCCGAACATGAGGAAGAGCGACAACAAATCAGATCTAGGTTAAGAAAAAGTCTAAGAAACGACCGTGAGCAGTGGTGGGCATCGAAAGCAAGAGATGGAAAAGGCGGCGACTATAGGGAACACAAGAAAGCTTTACAGACTAATAAAAGAAACTGGAATTAATAAGTCAAGTGTAAGTGAGATTATATCGGAAAAAGACGATACACTCATCTGCTCCCAGTCCAGACGTTTAGAACGATGGGCGGAACATTTCAGAGAACAGTTCAGCTGGCCTTCAGCTACTCTACAACTACCCTCCATTCCCAGACAGTGTGAATGGAACATTGAAGTAGGTCCCCCAACTCTTGCTGAAGTTCAAAAGGCTATAGTTAATCTGAAACGAGGAAGGGCAGCTGGTCCAGATGGATTGGCTCCAGAGGTCTTTAAGGATGGTGGTCCAATTTTAGCGATTAGGTTGACTAATATTTTAGCTAAAATCTGGGAGTTAGACGTTATTCCATCTGACTGGTCACAATCACTTATCGTCCCAATATATAAGAAAGGGTCAAAATCATCCTGTGACAACCACAGAGGGATTAGTTTAACTAATATAATATCTAAAATACTAACTTCGATAATTATCAGACGCCTAACTAAGGCTCGTGAACTGCAAACACGAGAGAACCAAGCTGGCTTCAGACCTGGTCGTGGCTGCATCGACCATATATTCACCATTCGTCAGATTCTAGAACATAGGCATACTTATCGGCATCCGACAATGGTGGTCTTTCTTGACTTAAAAGCAGCAGTTGACTCGGTAGACCGCGAGATTCTGTGGCAGTGTCTGTCATCGAAAGGCGTACCCCGGAAGTACATAAACCTTGTAAAGGCTCTTTACTCGAACACTACTAGTCGAGTGAGAGCTTATGGTGAACTGTCATGTGCTTTTGCAAACTCAAGTGGTGTCCGTCAAGGCTGTCCACTTTCCCCATTTTTGTTTAACTTCATCATAGATCTACTGATGGAAATAACATTCTCGTCGACTGAGTTCTCGGTATTGATCTCCTACCAGGAGGTCCACTAATCGACTTAGAATACGCAGATGACATAGTCCTGTTTGGTGAAGACGCTGACAAAATGCAGAGTCTTTTGGTAGCACTGAGCAACAATGCCAGGATGTTTGGAATGCGCTTCTCTCCCTTTAAATGCAAGTTGTTGCTTCAGGACTGGTCTGCGTTAACACCAGAACTAAGGATAGGGAGTGAAGTAATCGAACGCGTTGACAACTTCACTTATCTTGGAAGTCTGATCAGCCCTAATGGGTTGGTATCGGACGAAATCTCTGCACGGATTCGGAAAGCTCGATTGGCTTTTGCCAACTTGCGTCACCTATGGCGAAGGCGAGATATCCGTCTATCAATAAAAGGACGAGTATACTGCGCGGCAGTCCGTTCTGTTTTAATTTACAGCAGCGAAACATGGCCATTAAGAGTAGAAGACACTCGTAAGCTATTAGTATTTGACCACAGATGCCTTAGAAATATTGCTGGCGTCTGCTGGGATCATCGGGTAAGTAATAGTGAGGTTAGAAGTAGGGTATTAGGGAATGATGGTAAATCAGTTGATGAGGTTATGAATCTTCATCGACTGAGATGGTTGGGCCACGTGTTACGTATGCCTGAACACCGATTACCACGACGTGCAATGCTATCCGGTATTGGAAATGGTTGGAAGAAAGTTAGGGGCGGCCAAACCAAAACGTGGCATCAGTCCTTGAAGTCACTAACTTCTAGTCTGAGCCATGTTGGTAGATGCAGACTACTTGGTTGGGGTCCGCGTGACTATCGTAACCAATGGTTGGAGACTCTTGGTGACATGGCTCAGAATCGATCACAATGGCGTAGGTGTATACACTCCCTGTCTTCCCTTAAACTAAGAGATTAAAATCGCTTCATATCTTTCTTTCTACGAACCAATTCTTTCTTCTTGTACTATATCTCTATATGCAATCTTTCTCTTATATATTACTACCTTTGACCTAACCACTGCTATGAATCCGGTGTTCATCTTGTTGTGCTGATGCGGTATGGCAATTTGGACCGATGCACATATGTGCCTGGTCCTACATTGTAGCTGACTGACTGACTGACCGATTCCCCACCATCCCTCGTCCTAAATAGTGACTACCTTATTGGTAACATATGTAATTAGAATTTTGACGTGCGATCACGCTCCATTAAAGTGCTCACGTTTCATTCTCGTAAGGCACGTTTAGGATTTAGTAAGCAGTGGTTTTGTTTCTTGATCCTAATCGCAGGTTGTTACTCCTGAAGCAAAACAAAATTGCTTATAGGACGTCGACTTATTTCGTTCTCCACACTAAATACGTAAATATGTTCCGGAGACTAATTTATTTCTAAAAGGGATTACTTTAATTACTTCAAAACCATGACATTGATTTCCATCTCCAATTTGGTACTCTCGCTTATGTTGTGTATGTTCTTGTCACAAGGTACTAAGAAAACACAGACCCGAAAAATTGTTTTAAATCTTATTATGGCAAACCGGATCTTCGTATATACTGCATAACAGCCTATGTCGTATAGTTAGTATTATATTTTGCCTTTTATGCATGTAAATATGCATAGAGAAATTTTAGCATTGATTCTGTCATCCTTGTTTTTAAAGCTAATATTTTGTTAGGAAACACATAACTTTTAGCTTAATTTTAACAGTTGCTGTTTATTTCATTTTCCAGGCTGGCTTTTCAAGCTTCGACTTTCAGACTTATCACAAATCAAGGACCTTTTATCTGAAGAAAATTATGATGAATTTTTGACCTCTGAATCTTGATGCTGTAACATATTCTTCAGTTCGTTTCTTTAGGCATTACAAACTTCCACCGTTCTTATTTTGAACAATTAAACGTTATTTAGCGTATGATTAGGTTGCTAAGTTCTTCGAGACCACTTCAGCACATTTTAATCTTAGTTTTATATATTTTTACTTGTGAATAGCTTCTATTTATAGGACATAAACGTCTGAGTACATAATGGCAGAGTCATAATATTTGTAGGAAGAGGAAAGAATCGTACAGCCTGTAAATAAACAGACACCCATGAAATTTCATTAAAGGCAAAGTTCGGTAGAAATACAGTCTAGAAGGTTCTCCAATTAAGGAAACCCATCTCACTTTTATGAATAATGTAGCTAGAAACTACAGTGTGATTCTTGGCCCGTGTATAATGTCTCAACATACTTAGTTGCAGCATCTCCAGGACCCCAACTAAGCAATCTTAATGGACCTACAGGTCTCACTCCTATTCGCCTATATTGCATATTATGACGCCATGTCATAAGCTGACCACATTTCCGCTTCCTCGATTTAGTCGCTGCGTCAGCAAGTAACGTGCGGTGTGAAAGGTATCAGAATAACATTAGGAAAAAAACTCGAAGTCAGTGTTTCAAGATAGTGATACTGAAGGTAATATAGATGTTTAAACACACTCCCAAACCTCAGCATTTTTAGCCTTGTGTTCTCACCGCATGTAAGCAATCCCTCGTAAACAGTGTTAACCAAACTCAGAGAATCTCCCAATATTCCAAGGTCAAAAATTCCAGAATTCATGAGCACAGACAAACTTCGCTCGCCGGTGTGTTATCAAACTTTGATACCCAATCTTATATCATTACTACGCCAAAGAGGATGCAGATGGACATAAGCCACTGATCTAAGATTCACTTGTCAAGGACTTTCCAAATTGTTATTTTTTTCGAACGTAAACCCTGTTACTATCCCGATAATCTTCCGTTGTTAGGATGAAGGTAAATGAATGTTCAAATTTTAATCCTTGGGTTGGCTTGTTAGAAGCACGTTGGATATTCAAAGCCTGGAATTTGGGGCTGCCTATCACGAATATTGTCATGAAAAGATGTCTCAGTATCAGAGCCGCGCTAAGTTGTTTGTGAGTATACGTTTCTCTTCTTGTATGCAGCAAGTCTCTGCATTGGGTTGCAAGGTGACAACTATCTTCGTTTTTTTGTGCGGCTAACGTTTGCTGCGTGGTTGTACTTCGTTCTCTAGTAAGAAATCAGAATATAGTTCAAAAGACTAGTAATTATTATCACTGATTACAATAAGAAACTACAATTTAACTGTGGCGTGGATTCCCTTCAATTTATGTCTAAGTCTCCTCGAAATGTACATTTACACACCCCTTTAATATGTATTGTAGTTAGGCCCAAAATATATATATAGTTCACGAACAGTATAATTCAAGAAATAATCGGAAAACTAGTTGCACAATAGTAATTGGCAACGAAGCACCATATCTACATTTAGAGGTAATTGAAATAAATAATCCTTCTAGATATACCTTTCGCCGCAGACTAATTTCACTTGAAGAACCGTTAGTTACGCGGTGGACCATCCTGAAAAAACCTTATTGGACGGTCGTGGCCTGTGAAATCAACTGAGTCGAGAGTCAGAAACTTACTAACTAATCACAGTTGGATACATTATTTTGTCGCAACATCCATGAAGTGTCTGTAACTGTTATGAGAGTATGATCGTCTACTGTTATATAGACCAGACTTATATCTTTATCACCTAGGGCTCATTATTAGGGTCCGAGTCGAACAAGTAACCTGTATTCAGATCTACTTGGTCGTTAAATTTCTGGACGAGCCATTTTAGTCGGTCAGAGGTATTATTTATTTGAACACATAAATATTGGTACAAAGGAGAACCAGATACGTATGCGCCACAATAATAATGAGAATGTGAAGAGATAAGGTGCGTATATGAAAAAGGGGAACAGAGATTAGTGTATGACTGAAATAAATAATAACGGGAGCGGCAGTTCAACAAGCAAAAGTACAGTCGGAGGGGATTCTTCCAGTTGAAGAGGTCACGTCCTTCCTTATGAAGTAAAGTTACAGCAGAAGCGCCACTGGCTTCTATCCTGAGCCATATCTGATAGTCTCCGGCCACTGTGTTGCACCATGTCTAGGACCCCGACCAGGGAGTCACGAAGGACCGACAGGAGCCAGCCCTGTACAGCTTTCATATCACGACACCATATCATACACTGACCACCAGTGTTGGCGAATAATACACGAGGTGGAATTATCTGGGGAGACATTCGTAGGACATGTCCAAGTCACCGAAGTCGGTGTTCCAAGATGGTGACACAAATTGAATTATCGTCGCTGTGCCCGGACACACGATGCTACTGGATGTCAGCAATCCTGCGGAGACAACGATGATCAACCGTAGAGTCGTCTAACATCCTAAACTCGGAGAGGCCAGGTTTCACAAGCATAGAACGAAACTGCTCTCACTGACGCGTTGTAGATCTGATGTTTTACGGTCAGGCTAACATCACGTTTACGTGGATAGAGTGGACGTTATGTATGTAACTAAGGTCATGCACATTATTCATATCCGGTCTCCTATTTTTGTCTAATTGGTCGTATTCCATATTTCCGCTCATCGTGAGTCACTGACAGTTCATCTGACTATAACTAAGAGTAATGCGTCTATTAATCGCAGGCATTCTAAGTCCAAAGTGACAACCCTTGTCGTATATAAGCTTATCAACAAAGCTATCCGCCACGTTACTAAATTGGATAGTTTAGAGCGCAATTAAGCTTTTCGAAACATATTGACCTTAATTTACGCAAAACGTAGTAACGAGAAATCTTTAACCTTTGGGTTGACCAGCACAAGTAATTAGACTTTACTATTATAACCACACGAACGTTTATTTCCTTGTCAATCTTAATATTTTCTCTACGTAATTAGTTATATTGCGCTCAGCGAATTGTTAGCTTTTGGTCATTTCTTTTCTGTCTCCGTTACCGGTGGTGATCCCATATTTTGTATAATACATACTAGCTTTTAAACAAGTATGGTAAAGGATGAAGCATTACTATAAGTCTACCAAACTGCCTTAGTTGGTTCGAATCAAGATGCTTCGTCATAGCCGACTGATTAACAATATTTAGGAGATATTTAGTTACTAGTAATAGATCACAATGTGAAGTTATCGGTCTACAAAAAGACATGCACAGATAGACGGACGACACTTACAATTACAAATTTTCACAGTAACGTTAATGGATACCTAGTCCCTCGCATTAATGATATCCAATGAAGCTTACCAGTGTTTGATTTCCTTATTGTTTTTCAAGTGCACTGAACCTAAGCGGATTTATTAGAATAAGTACCTTATTCGTTCAGTAATGTCAAACACATTTTCGAAATGTCTAAACTCGATTATCATATAATTATTTGTAAACATACCAGGAAAATATTCATTTGATTCAAATATTGAAGCCTATTGATCTGTCAGGATATGTACTTCTCTGTCGTGAAATTAAATGGGGGAGAAATACATAGTTGATCTCCTACCTGCTTAGATCATTTCCATCCTTATAATCATACTCATCTCCGAAAACGTGCAGCTTGAGTGTTTTCGTAATTCTTTCCCACTAGACATTCGATTAACAGCCAGAAGATCATGTCACCACGTTTTTTCCCTTTGTTGTAAGCATTTTCATCCTCATACACTACCCAAATAATCGGACACCAGAGCAGCTCTACTGCAAAAGGTCATGTGTCCCAAAATTGGTTGCGGACCAATACAAGTCAAATCACAAACCTTGTCCTGAATACCCCTCAGAATTTATTACCAGTCAGTTATGAAATCCTTAGTTATTCAAAGTGAAAAATTAGGCTGACGTTATTAAACGCATTAAATTATGACACATTAAGTCAGTCATTCAGTTACAACGTAGGACCTGGCACATACATGCATCGGTCCAAGTTGCCACATACCATTAGCACAGTAAGACAAACTCCAGATACATAGAAGTAGTTGCTTCAATGGTAATAATATATAAAAGAAAGGTTGCATATAAGGATATATTACAGGAAGAAAGAATTAGTTGGTAGAAAGAAAGATATGGAGCGATTTTAATCTCATAGTTTAAGGGAAGACAGAGAGTGTATACACCTACGCCATTGTGATCGATTCTGAGTCATGTCACCCAGAGTGTCCAACAATTGGTTACGATAGTCGCGCGTACCCCAACCAAGTAGTCTGCATCTACCAACATGTCTCATACCAGAAGTTAGTGACTTCAAGGACTGATGCCACGTTTTGGTTTGGCCGCCCCCAACTTTCTTCCAACCATCTCCAACACCGGTCAGCATTGCACGTCGTGGTAATCGGTGTTCGGGCATACGTAACACGTGGCCCAACCATCTCAGTCGATGAAGATTGACAGCCTCATCAACTGATTTGCCACCTTCCCTAATACCCTACTTCTAACCTCACTATTACTTACCCGATGATCTCAGCAGATGCCAGCAATATCTCTAAGGCATCTGTGGTCAAATACTAGTAGCCTACGAGCGTATTCTGCTCTTAATGGCCACGTTTGGCAGCCGTAAAGTAGAACAGGACGAACTGCCGCACAGTATACTCGTTCCTTAATTGATAGACGGATATCTCGCCTTCGCCATAGGTGACTTAAGTTAGCAAAAGCCAAACGAGCTTTCCGAGCCCGTGCAGAGATTTCGTCAAACACCAATCCGTTATGGCTGATCAGACTTCCAAGACAAGTGAAGTTGTCAACGCGTTCGATTACTTCACTCCCTATCCTGAGTTCAGGTGTTGACGCAGGCTAGTCCTGGGACAACCACTTGGATTTAGATTGGGACAATTGCATCCCAAACATTCTGGCATTGTTGCTTAGTGCTACCAAGAGACTCTACCTTTTATCGGCATCTTTGCCAAACAGGACTGTTATCCGCGTATTCTGAGTCAATAAATTGACCTCTTGGT